AAAGTCTGCAGCTGCTAATGCGGTATGACACTTGGGTTTTGGGAGCGGCCACAGCCTCCTCAGTCCACTAGAAGCAGAGCCTCGCCCTTGTGGTAAATTGAAGGATGGAAGTTTAATGCTTTGGTTATGTGCCAGGGATTAAATATATGGCAGGGGAAACTAGAAGCTGGGCCTCATAGGGGAGCAGCCCCTAGAAGGTCCTATTGCAGAAATAGGAGGGACAGTGACAACTCTGCTTGTGGGATGGCCTAAACCCTTGTTTCAGAAGATGCTGCCTAACACTGTCGATTTTCTTCAAACTGTTACAAAGACAAGCTAAGGAAGTGTTTATCTAGAAAGAGAACAGAAAAAGGGAGGAAGAGATTTCCTTGGAGGAGAATGCAAATTTCTGTACAGTGACTATTTGTGAGAGCTGCAGATACCCCTCTGACATTTCTAATGGCTTCTCACCTTTCCTGTTCAATATGAATCCAGAGTGTCTCAGAGACTGAGGTCTAGGGAGATAGCACTGCATCTTGGGAGAAAGACTGATGACAAGAGAGGGCAAAAATTAATGTGACCTCAGCTCCCACTTCTCCTAGAGGAATACTTCCAGGTTCTAGAGAGTCTAAAGGTCAAACTGAACAAAGAAGGAATGTCAGTCATCTTTCTTACCCCTGTAGAGGCTGCACACTCAATCAGCCAACTATGAATCTGCCAAATGACTGTGGAACTGAAGGATGAGCTCTTACCTCAAAACCTGTGTAGGTGGTATGATAAGGGACACACTCAACCTCTGCTATCTTGTTCTTATTCAGGAGGTAAAAACTCAAACAAAAGCTACAGACCCAAACTTCTAGCCTCTCAAATGTTTTGCATTAACTGTTCCACAGTACAAACACAATCAACTTGGTATGTCTGAATGTTTCATTTTGTTTTTTCAAAAATCTTTTAATTAAAATAAAATAATCCGTCATGCCTAGCACATTGTTATTTTGCAAAGATGTCTTTAAATATGACAACAGAACCATGGAAATAAAAATTAACTGCCTAAGAAAGTGACAGAAATTTGTTTTCTTTCTTTTTCCCTTGGTTTTTTTTTTTTCTCAGTCTCAGGGCTGGTGCCACCTGCTGCCTGGGCTTTCCTCTGAGAAACATCTCTCAACAGTTTGTTTCAAGCAACATCTGCAGGCATAGTTCTACAATGAATAAACTGCAGGCCAGCTCTGAGGCAGGCATTTTTAAGTCTTATTAATGATCTGTCTGTACATGAACTTTCCCCCAATTGTATCTTTTTATTTTTTTCAATCATGGTGAAATATAAAATTTTGCCATATTAACTAGTCCTCCTTCCCTGCCTATGGGGTCTTACTATATTCCCAGGCTGTTGGTCTTCAACTCTTGGACTCTGTTCTCTTGCCTCAAGCTCCCAAATACCTGGGACTACAGGTTCACACCTCTATGCCTGGATTCCAAATGTATCTTCATCACAGTAAATGTTGTAAAAGGGTCATCCATTCACCAGAATTAACCTACTCTGTCACTTTTTACAGATTAGTGAACACTAAAAGAAACCAATACAAGTGAACCTAGAGCAAGATTTGGCAAAATACAGTCCTTGAACCAAATCTAGCCTACCTCCTGTTTTTGCATGGCCCATAAGCTAAGACTGGGTTTTAAATTACAAAAAATTCTAAAGGACAATATCCATAAAGTTTGACTAAAATACAGCAATGCTATCCTTTTGTCTACTTTAGTCCCACACAGTAGGAAGTAGTAACTGCAACTAAGCCAGAATATGGACCACAGAACCAAAATCATTTACTGTTTGGCCCTGGCCTAGAGCCTCAGGAGGAGGTAATTCCAGACTCAAAAATTCTAAACTGGGGGGCCAGTGAGATGGCTCAGCTGGTAAAGATACGTGCTGTCAAGCCTGGCAATCTGAGTTCAATCTCTGGGACTCACATGATAGAAGGAGAAAAAGGACTCCCACAAGATGTCCTTTGACGCCACATTCACACTATTTCACCTGTGTGCCCCACATCCACTCCCTCCGAATAAATAATGTTTAAAAAATTGTAAATTCTAAACTAAGGGTGGTATACTTCCTACCACTAAAATGTCCCAATTTGGATATTGTGAAGCTATCATATTGTCACGATCATTTGTTCCTTTTGGTCTATCTGAACACATGTTTATCTACATTGAATGTACCAACTCACTACTGGCTAGTGGTGAGCTTAAATGCAATACTTTAAGATTTATAAATTGCTTTAAGATTTATAAAAGGAAGCCAGGCATGGTGACACATGCCTTTAAACCCAGCACTTGGGAAGCAGAGGCAAGCAGATCTCTGTGAGTTCGAAGTCAGGCTAGTCTACATAGGGTGCTCCAGGCTAGCTGGGGCTAAATAGTGAGGCCCTGACTCAAAACCAAACAAAAACCAAACCAAAACAACAAAAATAGATTTATAAAGGGATCTGTTACTTAGCTTGAACACTGAAATTATTTGTCTAAGGGGCCAAAACATTATAGTTATAGTTACCTGGGTGGTAACTAAACCCAGGTTTTATGGCAACACATACTACTCTTGATGAGGAGTTAAGGAAGGCTAGATTCTACCACTAACCTTTATCTTCCTTCTTATCAGCTGTGAAGGAAGAGAAAGGATTTCAAAAGAAGAATGGAGAGATGGGAGATCATTTGGGGTTGACTACACACTATAATTAGAATAGCATTGAAAGGGAATGAGCTAACTGTTTTTATAAAGTCAGCATTCAAATATGCAAACCACCAGTAATTTAAATATTACAAAACTGTGCAGAATACAAGTATTGGAATAATTTTTTCCATCCACAAAATTTTAGAGAAAATTACAGTATCACAAAATATGAAATGGTAAGCCTGGCAGATTTGCACTGTAAAATATGTTTTTTTTATTTGAAAGGATTTAACAAACTAGTGGGTAGGCTCTTGATAGGATGTGATGCTGAAAAACATGTGTTATGTCTCTAAAACTGCTTCTGGAACCAGAGTTGGGAAAACACAAAAGCATCAGTGTAACAGAATAGTAAGAAACAAGGCTGGTGAGACTTTGACTTACCACAAATTGCTTCACAATGGTCATTTATTTGTCTTTACCCAGGACTCCTAAACAAAAGCATGCCAAGGTTTTGGGGTTAAATTGCCCAATAGCTCCTGCATTTGACCAAGAAAAGCAAAGGTACCTAGTAGATGCCACCTGCCAGCAAGTGCAAACAGAGTTGGCTCACAGTGCTTTACAGAGCTATCACTCTGCCCTTTCCAGAAGGGGAACCAACCTGTCTATATCCACCCATATCTCTCTTTCCATAGAGAACATTAAATACTGAACACATAGATGGCTAAGTAGAACTAAGGGGTTACTAGGTTACAGTTATGTTGACATGTCCTGGCTATGAGAACATCCCTCCCCTCTCCACAGACTACAAACAGTAGAAGCCATCAAATTATAGAAGTTCCAAAGAAAGAAGCAATCACTTAGAAACCACTTTTACTGAGCCTCGGGTTTAGTGTTGCGAGGCCCTCATCCTACTGATCCAAAGTCAAGCTTTGCCTTTTACAGGGATTCATCAGACAAGAAGCTCTAGTATTCGGAGGGTAAATGAGGTGTCTGACCCTTAATGAACTGTGAAGCACTATAAAAAGTATGATTAAAATGTTTACTGACTGCCTCCTGTACATGGTAGGACACAGAAGTTAGAAGTTAGGTAAAGCATAACATTTAATGTTCACCAACACCCTGCAAGGGAATTATCATACCCCTTTCCAGGTGAAGAAACTGATGCTCAAAGAGCTGAAGGTTTACCCCAAAGTCACACAGAAAATGACAACTCCAAGTCTCAGCCTTTACACTAATCCAAGCTGGCAAGTAAACAAAACAATTCTGAGTTTTCTTGCACCAACAAAATCTCTTTCCAACATCAATCCGCAACTTAGGGTGGAGAACCCAGGGGCAGGTTTTCCAACTTCAGGAGCCGGTAATTCACTCTTCCCTTCCCTTTCACAAATGAGTATGCGCAACATCCAAACAACCTGCTGAGAAACTTAACCAGGCGAGACAACACCCTCATATGTGCTCTTTTACTTGGAAAGGATTCTGCTGCAAGGAAAGGGGTCTGCAAGGAAAGGTGTGTGTGTGTGTGTAAGCCAAGCAAAGTCCCAGCCTGGTTCAGGGCACCAGCTCTGAAGACCTCTCGAAGGTCTTGGCCTGGGGAGCAGGTCTCGTTTAAAATATAGGGTTACCCAGGACAAGGGACTTAGCGTTATGAGCTCACGAAAAGTAGCCTGAACTCTGCAGGGGCGAAATCTACCACCACTCGTCCTCTTTTTTCTCTCTTTTAACTACTGGGCTAGTCAACTGAGTTCCGGGGAAGTTCAAAGCCGGCCCGGTGGGGCGGAGGAGGGTCTGGGCTAGGGTACAGAGAGGGTCGTTCCAGAACCCTGATCTGCGTCTAGCCCGGCAAGCAAGTCAACTCCACTGCTGCAGAGGCAGATGCTAGGGCTGTGGGTCCTCCAGGGGGGAGCAGCGGGGACCCCAGGCAGAGAAGCCGGGCACCAGCTCTCCCGCCTCCGCACCGCTCGAGCTGGGAGGCGCCGGGATCCACCCCGGGAGGCGGGAGGGGACAGAAAGGAGGACGCGGGAGCGTCTCCCACAGGCTCCAAGACGCGATCCCGACCGGGGAGTGTCGCGGAGGGTCTTGGGAGGGGGGCCGCCCGGCCCGCGGTGCGTCTGAGACCCGGGGAGGACAGGACTCCAGGCGGTCTCGCGGCTCAGGGGGCGACCCGGGCCGGGCGCGGTCGCTGAAGGACCTGGGTTATCGGGCGGGGGCACCGAGGAGACCCTCCATCCGAGGCGCAGCCGGAGGCTTCGGAGGACGCCCGGCCAAGCTCAGGGGGCGTCGCTGAGGAGGGCAGGTCCCGCGCCGGGGGCCCCGGGCGGCCGGCTCCGCGCTGGGTGGGCGCCGGGGGTCGTCACTCACCAGGTCCGGGGCCGAGACCGGGGCTGGGCGCAGGCC